CAATTATTATTTCATGTATTTGGTTGGTACAGGGTCTCACTATGCAGCTCAGACTCGTAGTGCTCTTCCTACTTTCAGCCTCTCCAGTGCTATTACAGGCATGCACCGCCACACCCAGACTCTATGGCTGGCTCAGCCTGCCCTGCGGGTGGGGTTGGCACAACATGTGGTGCCAGGGATTGAACAGTGGTCCCTGTGCTTGCCAAAGGTTGCCAAAGCAGAAGCTTTAGTCCACTGAGCTATCTTGCTGGCCCTCTAGCCTTTATTATTATTGCATTATTTTATATATCTTTTGGTTATACTTTTGGTTGGGTGTTCAGAAACAAGCTAAAGTGAGGCCTGAGTTAATCAAAGTTAACCTCTCACTATATATTAAGTTTAATCAAGTTAGGTCTTACTCTTGGGACCATGTGTAGAGTCCTTCAGCTCTTTTGTTAGAATTTGCCACCAGGTAGGCTATGGTCTTGATTGACTATGTTGCCTTTTGGGAAAGAAAATGATTTTTTTGGTGACTCTTTTTTTTTTCACATCTGTTTTTTGGAGAGTCTGACAATTCTCTGCATAAGAAGCTAGGCAACTCACTAAAATTGTAGGATCTTGTAGAAAAACTCCCCTCATGGTGGTGCGCGCTTGTAATCCCAGCGCTTGGGAAACTGAAAGCGGGAGAATCACTACGAGTCTGGTGTCTGTAGTGAGACCCTGTAGACCCTGTAGAACCTGCACTAAATACAATAAATCAATCAATAAATCAATCAATAAATAAAATACACAAGAGAAATCTTAAAAGACATAATCCATCTTAAATGATCATGGATAACCTAATATCTGTCCCCAAAATACTACCTTTAAGTTATAGTTTATGAACTTGGAAGCACTTTAAGATAAAAGATCTTTGTTTTTGACAAGGTTTTGCTATGTAGTGCAAGCTGGGCTTGAACTCACTATGTAGCCCAGGCTGGCCTCGAATTCATAGCAATCCTCCCTCTTTAGCTCCTGAGGGTTGCGATTATAGTCATACACCTCCATGCCTGGCTCCAATAAGAGATCTTAAAAGTTGATTTTTCTCCAAAATAAGTTAAAGAATGAAAAGAAAGGCCTCGAAGCTCTTTCTTCTTCCCTCTTCTGACTCTCGTTGGTTCTAAGTCAATAGTGTTAACAGGAAAGGTGCTTGGAGTAGCTTGACAAAGGAAATACTATTAAGACTTACATAAGAGGATACAAAAAAAGATTAAAAAAAAATATTAGCCAGGGAGATAGCTCAGTGGAATAAGTGCTTGCCTGGCAAACTCAAGGTCCTGAGTACAATTCCTAGTACCACCAAAATAAATAAGTAAATAAATAATAATCTTTAGGGGAAAAACATGAATTAGTCTTTTTTTTTTTCTCTGATGCCACCGCTTTTAATGTTGTATACATCAAATTATAACAAAAGGCAACTACAACACGATGCCCCCTCTGGTTCATGAACAGCACACATACTGTCACAGTAAACCAAGCTTACATTCCACCATCAAGTGTGATTCCCCCATGAACTCACTTGGGATAGATCATTGAGAATATCTTCAAATCCGATAGTTTCATCATCACTCCTCAAAACATCCAATGAAAGGTTTGAGCTAGAAAGAAATGGAAGACGCTGAACCTGCTGCACTGATTTGAATTCCATTTGTAATTTTAGAGGAGCAAAGAGAACTTGGATGTTTCTCAGTGTGGAAAAATTCATTTTATTTTGGTTGAGCTAGAAATTTCTTTTTCTGGTAATTCAAGAGCATGACTTGTTAACAGTTCGTTTTTCATACAATGGAAAAACTTTCCAAAGAAGATCATGTCATTCAAAAGGCCCACTTGCTGGAAGTTCAGTAACTGGAATACTGTCCTTTAGCTGAGATCCAAGTCCTCCAGCATTCATCTGCAGTCTGCTGTGTCATGAATTAGTCTTTATAGGTGTAAATATTTATAACTATGAAAAAGATTATACTTCAGCATGACCAATTCATCTAAGAGTGCACTTTAATATAGTTTTATGTGCTCTACATATTATCTTGTTTGTCTGTCTGTTAATGTTTTATTTATTTATTTTTAATGAATTTGGTACAGGGTCTCACTACGAAGCTCAGACTCAGAGTGACCCTCTTGTTTTCACACACACACACACACAAAGCTTCTATTTAAGTTGGTTTATAGATAGACATTCATTAATCCAAACGTTCTTGATTTACTAGTGAGTTAATAAGGTAGTAGTAAAGATGTCTTTAAAGTTGGTGACATATTTTTAACCTGGTAGTTAACCAACTGAGATAATATTTGTCAGGAAAAAGAAAGGAAGGAAAAGTAAGACTAGAAGGAAAAAGCTTGTGTAAATAAGGAGGGGGAAGGCAGGCATGTGGTGCATGCCTATAATCCCAACACTCAGGAGACTGAGGTAGGAGGATCATTGCAAGTTCAAGACTAGCTTAGGGTACAAAGTGAGCTCAAGGCCAGCCTGAACTGCATAGTGAAACCCTGTCTGGAAAAAAAAAAAAAAGACCAAAAAAAGAAAAAAAAAAAAGAAGAAAAAAAACCCAAAAAGCAAGGAGGGGAAGAAGAGGGGTTGAAGGGAGGGGAAAAAAACAATCAACATATACCATGAAAGGTACAAATTTCATATGAATGATACCATTATGTATACCTAAAACATAGGCATACATACGTGTATTCATAAATTTAATAAAAAGATAATATTTATCAGCCTGAACTGCATTGTGTGACCATGTCTCATCAAAAAAGAACACGGTAATTATGCAATGTTTTGGTTCTCATGAATTATCTAAAATAATTATTAAGATGATAAATAAGTAAATGTACATAAGAGTAATGTTCATGAATCTTCATAATGACATTTAAGTCATCATTTGTGATACATATATACTTTTTTTTTGTTTATTTATTTATTTATTTAT